AGAAAAATAAACAGTTCCAGAGTTTCCTGTTGTAGAATGGAAGTGAGCCATCATAAAACATAGCCCCCACAAATAGTGCTAAATGGTTTGAAATTACACTTGTCATAATGTTAATTACCAATAGCCCAACTATTTTAGGAGAACATAATTGAAAACCAGTTATGCTGGAATCTAAAAAGGGTAGCATCTATTCATCTGACACTATTTTTCTTCTTTTTGATGGAAAAAAATGTCATTTCTCTTACTCAATAAGGAAGAAAATAGGTAAATGTACCTGAAACAGACAGGACTAATCTGACTGTTTCTTAAAAACTAAAAATTTTGAGAAGCCAGATTAAAACCCAGCTTTGATTTTCTCCATTCTACCCAGATGTGTCTGACTACAGGTCAACTAAAATGGTGATGGAAAAGGGAATTAGAGCAAGACTTATGCTTCTGCTGGAGCTCAGCAACTTGCCAATGTCCCTTTAGAGAGGAAGAAAGGGTGCAGATGTTCTTATACCGAGTCAGCTCAAGAGAGAGTGTGATCCTGCAATCCCTACATTTGTAATGAGTCTGAGCAACACAAGACCTCCAGCTTTTGGCAGTCCTTCAGCTCTGCAGATCATATTTTCAAAACCATTCAGCTGTCCTAGATAAAGCAGTACCATCCAACACTTGGCCTTTCAGCTTCTGGCTTCTATTGCACCAAGTCTTTAATTCAGAAAACAGATTTCCTATTAACATCATCTGTTAAGTCAGGGAAGGAAAACTGATTTTCATTGTACAAGGCATTCAGAAGGGCTAATACTAATGTATTATTTCATGTGGGTCGAATCTGTAGAAAATATAGGTTTGGCACATGTTGATAGATGGCTTCTGGGAGTCTCTTTTCTTTCCAGCACCAGATCAGTCATAGCCTAACTATGAAAATATATATACTAGCACTGACTTGGACAAACTGAATCAGGCCTTGTTGGACAGAATGAGCCATTCTGGAGAGAGCAATACTCTCTTATTGAGTCAGGCCAATAACAGATGAGTAGTCTTGCAAGTGTTTCCAGCATAGCATTATTTTTTAGAAGTATAAATCAACTGCTTAATTTACAGCACTTCACTGAACACTGAGACACTTCTCAACCATGCTTTTACATGAATGGGCAACATGAGTGTTGTTACCAGCCCTTCCCATCAAAATTGATCACTGATTTTCCTGTACAGTACTCTGCTTTCAGCTGCTTCAAGAAACTGCAGCTATTGAATTTGACATATGTGAGCAAATGTATCCTTAGGGAAAAAAAATCCACCTGAGGAAATTTAAAACATCAAAAACTCAAAAACAGACTACTAGACAAAAACTGAATTCATTATTCTGCTAGAAAATCATTATTTCATATGACAGAAATAGAGGTGGGCAACAAAACAAAAAAGCTGAACTAAGTTCAAACCAGTGCCTGGTTGTGACTCATCTCTGTTCATGAATCAGGATGAACCAAGTCAATGAAAGGTTTCTGGCATTATGTCCTTATCATCAAATATGTTTGATTTCTCACATATTTGTCACCAGCTCCTTTGGCTTGGATTGTTTTTGGCTGATGGAAATAATTTAGACCCTTGAACTAAGTCACACCTTGAACTGTCTCACTCACTGAAAGAGAAACATTCTGTGATCTATCACCTTTTATGAGAAATAACTCACAGCAGAAAATAAAGAGAAAGAAAAAGCCTCAAAGTTTTATTCAAAAGATTTTGCTGAGAGGAGAAGGAATGAAAAATTATCTCCAGATCAACCTGCAGGACTTTTAGGCTCTTGCAGGCCACAGTTGACTGCAAGAAGTAAAGAATCAGGGCTTTTCCACAGTTTACTCTGCCTTAAACCAGTCTAGTCCCTCTGTATCCTCTTGCTCATATGAACTGCATTCAAAAAATGGGTAGAATGCAAGAAAAGAAGCATTTTACTCTGCTTCCCTCAGCCTCTCCTCAGCCTCAACAGGGCCCCATAAGAAGTGTAGCTGTTAAACTCAGAACATTAGTGAGAATGGGCCTTCTCATTATGAAAGTTTCAAAAAAGGGCATGTTTCTATTTATTAGTAATTAACAAATAAAGAAATCATATCCATTCTCAACAATGTGTCTGTACCAACTTTGCTCTATTTGTAAGCAAAATGGCTCCGTAGATCTTAGGAATCCATATTTATTTTTACTTATGTCTAGTGATGAACACATAAATATTGCTATTAACATAAAAAGAATTGGTATTTTATTTGTCCACAGCCTTGGAGCTATTGCTTCATGGTTTTAATTGAGTTAATTATTTTGCTTTTTAACAGTATATTAAGTCTCTACTACAAGAGGAATGACAATATTCATAATTTAATATGCAGTTTAGACTCAAAGGAATAAAACCAAATCTGTGCAACCATTTACAAAATTGGTCAGTTTTTCTTCTCAGAGATACAAGAAAAGCTCCGATTGTTTTATTTTACAATTCAGCTAAACTAATGCCATTTGCTAGAAACATTTAAAAATTAATCCTAACATTTTTAATCAAATAATTATTTAATGGTCTGGGGTTTTTTTAACAGAAGACTGAGGTATTCAGCTAGTTTGACAGTTGCTTGAATATGTTTTGAGAAATATTTGCACTAATTATTGAATATATTATTAGAAAACATACCTTTCTTGCACAGTCCCAGCCATTTTCACCCCTGTTTGTCAGTTTCTAGCTCTTAATGATAAAATCCACATATCCTAGGGAAAGAATCCCTTTTTCCTCAAAAAGAGAGATAACTTGGCATTTTGTGTTCTTTTAGTGCATTAAAAAAATTATTTTTACACTTGCATGAACTTAGACGATGTTAAGGTATTAAATAGACTTGAAAAGTACTTATTTGAAATCAGCACTGTCAACAAAGGTCTTTTTACAAAGATATGCAACAAACATCATCTCACAGCCCAGCTTCAACTTCTTCTTCCTATAGTACAAATGTATCGGCAGTACCAATAAGAGTCAGCCATTTTGACCCAAACAGGAGAGTATCACAAATGAAAAGCAACTATGTCCTTTAAAAAAGACAGTAGCAACTTTATTTTTGCAAGACCATGTCACATTTTTGCTGTTCTGCTAAATGGCACCGCAGGTCTCAGTGTCTCCACGGGGGTTTCTCCTCCTCATCACACACACTGATGTGCACAGCTCAAGTGGTGGGAGCAGGATATGCAGCCTTGTTGCCCAGCAGATCTGGACCAGATAGCAAGAATAATCCTGTGTGAATAGACTGTAACAGATTGCTTCCTCCTGTAAAGAATAAGGGACCAAAGCACAGACCATAACTGCGAGCGAGCTGATCTGAGCTGGGGGTGGACAACTGTAGGCTGCCGCTGAAGCAGCTGAAGGCAAGATGTCGTGCTGCAATTTAATCCTGAAGAACAATCAAGCACAGGTTTTCAGAGCCTTTCTTTGTAATTTTAAACAATATTTGCAAAAACACAATATGGATATAGACTAAACATTCCTGTTCATTGAGACAGAAGTATCCTATTGATAGTAGCTTAAGACAGGTCCTTTTTTCTCTGCTTGCACAAAAATTTAGGTTTTGAAATGAATAAAAGACCTAAACAGAAGGCATTGCAAGACAGAACGGATGTTAACTCACTCTCGTTACCCGATCACTTCAGAATCCACTGGCTATTCACAGCCTTGCATTTCTTTACACCAAGATTATGGAGTGCAGAGAAAAGAGAAGATCAGAGCAGACAAATCATTTTGCTACTAGCAACAGCCTATCTGGGGACTTCTAAGTGCAGTAGATTAAGAAAATGTTTACTGGTTATCATGATTCAGTTAAGCCCAACTAAATCTGTGAAAGCCCCAAGAAACATTTATGACAAACACAATTTTATTATCGTTGCTATTTATCAAAGAAAGCTTGGGTCAGATAAGTGTCTTATTCTCACAAAGGTCAGATCTTTTTTTATCTGTTTCCCAATGCCCTTTGACTGAAACAGATGAAGCTGAGTAAGTTCCTTAGGTCTCAAAAGCATTACATCTTGAATTTTTGCATCAGCTTTTATTGCAGATCTCTTTTCTGTCACAATATTTTTTTTCAATTTCCATGGGAGGAGAGGAGTTCAGGTTCTCAGCTGTCCCTTATACTAGCACCTTGGGCCAGTGAAAAGCTAATAGAAGTTAAATTTAAGATTCAAGCAGTAAATGCAAGGGGAGACTCAGCTGAGTATTACAAGATCCATCCTGCAAAAAGGAGCTGTCAAACAAAGAAGGCTGGAGCAGTATTAGTCTGACTGCTCAGCTGCAGGAACAAGCTGGGACAGCAGGCAGGACAGAGGGATCTGTATCCAAGAGACAGGGTCAAGGGCTGGAGCAGATAGAAGTGGGTGTTGGGTCTCAGGATCACAGACCAGAACCACACCCAAATCCCTGAGAGGAAACGTGGCTGATGGGAAAACCAGCAGTTAAGCTTTCAACCCAGTACCTAAATCTTGAGGGACAGACTGTGGCCAGGGAATCTGACTGCTGTCCCCAAATTATCCCAATCAGTTTTGGAAGGGATTTGGTTCATGCTGGAACTGGTGCTGTCAGTCAGATCTTTGCATATGCTCATGCATATGAAAAAACAGGTGTAACAGGTAACAGAAGAACAGATACCTTGCTCTTTGAGTTTGAAAGGCACAACATAAAGATTTCAAGTAAGCTAGCAAAGCCTGCTCAGGAGGAGGGCATTAGGAGATAAATATGGAGTGTTGTTCCTGAAATACATGGATTTACAATAAAAATATTCTGAAATTTAAAATATATATATACATATAAATTCATCTAGCATCAGTATTGGAAACATTTGAAGTTTTGCAGAACATTAGGAAGAACACACTCAACACAAGGAATTTTATAAAAATGTCTCTCCCATGACAAACTCAAGATAACTTTTCTTTTCTAATACTGACTCTATGTTAATCATATTCTGTCTATTCTCTGTACCAGAATAGAATTTATTTCTCTTTACCTTTGTGCGTGGTCTGAAACCCAGAAATACCATATGGTCTAGAAGATGCACAAAGTCCCAAGATGTGCTTTATAAAAATAAAGACAAAGCAACATTTTATTCTTATCTACCTCTACAAACTTACATTGCAAGTTAAAGTCTCCTACTGTGTAAAATATTAATTCAAATTATGTTTTTAAACACTTAAAAGTCAAAAGTAGCCATTTAAATCTATACTAGCTCTTGAGTTTGTGACTTTTTAATGCTTAAGACTATAATTTCTAAACTAACTGTCCTTATGAATGTGCTTAAAGTTGTTACAATCTAAAAATTGCTTTGTCAGAATAGAAAATATATTGGTAGCTTCCTTCTGGTTGTTCGCAGAACGGCTTCTGTCATTGTGACTGCAATCAGCTGCTGTTCGTGTTGGCATTGTTGGCGTGGAGGTCCAGGAATGAAAGTAAACAAGTATTTTCTGTGGTAGCACTGCAAAACACAGATTTGTCCATTCTAATAAAGAACACTGGGTAAATGGCCTTGCCTCTAGAGATGCTGTAGCTGTTGTCTGAATCATGAGTGTCAATGAGACCAAGAAAAACACTTGTGAAGCTTCATTCTCTCTTGGATGGGTAGGAGCAGGCTGGCCTGGATTTTGCTTCTTCACAGCCATGCCAATATGTCCCCTCATCTGTTCAATTGCTGCTCTACAGACTAATTCTGTCAGTTCCAGATGTTTCAATTATCTTACCATTAAAACAATGTGTTTTGTATTCCTGGAGTTGGGTAATTTTCAGAAATAATAAAGCATTTTTGGTTTGAAGAATCAATTCCTGAAAGCTATTCACTGTTCATCAGTAGTTGAATTTTAATTCAGTCATGGAGATTGTGTTTTGGGCTCTATTAAATATATAAATACATTTAATAGAAATAAGTTTATCTAGCATATTTTGACCTATCTCCTTGACAATTGTTAATTTTGCATAAAGCTGGACACATAACACATTCTCATCCCAGGGAACAAGTTTGTTCCCACGATCATCTTCTAGACCTGTTGTGAAGTAGCTAAGAGCCACAGGAGTCTCCATGGGATAAGCACAGCTTAGTTGCAGTTTAGGCTTGGGAAAAAGACTACAGGGAAGTGTCGTAGTCAACAGTAACTGAAAGAGCTTTTGAAACTGGAACACTTTTTTTCCCACACCTATTGGGCAAGCATGGTCACAAGGATTCAGATATTATCAAAATATGTCAGGAAATTCACAGAAAGGAAATCACTATCACAACTCATGTATGTACTTGAGCTTGGTTTTTAAGTATGACATCTTGTAATAAATGTTTCTTTTCCCCTATTTTACTAATATAATGGCCAAGATCATGTTCATTAAGATCTAGGATACAATATGTATAGGAAATTATCAGAGGCTTATAGGAATTCATCAGTGATAAATGTATTTAAATTCTTGCTTACCTCAATACCTTGTGACACCCACTGAGGAGAGTTGTCCTCCAGAAGCATGGTCCAAAATTCTGCTTATTACTAAGACATGTTACACTTCCAAAAAAAAACCCCACCAGATTATTATTTAAAGCCTGTGTTTAAATCCAACATATTTTTTACAATGCACTCTGGAAGCGGTCAGGAGGCTGATCTCAGGTTCTTTGTGAATCCCAAGTAAGAGGGAAAGGTTATGTGAGACTTGCCGGCTGAAATAGGTTACACCGAAAGCAACACAGAATGAATTCACAAGTACGGCTTATAGTTTATTTTTCATTGGGAGTGTCACCAGTGGAACATTGCATGAATTCACAAGGATTTTGGAAGACTAAATGAGCTTTCCTGAAATTCTTGAGGAGCATTGAGAGCCTGATATAAGAGAAGGCAAAAGAGGAATGTTACTGCCATTTGGATGGATGGAAGCAGGGGAAAATGCAAGGTCTTGCATAAACAAAAATTTTCTCTCTTTTTAAGAATATCTGGAAATAGGCAGCCAAAACCCTGTGTTACAGCTCAAATGCTTTCTCTGAGTAGCCATTTCACTGTGCTCATGCAAGGCAAATATAATTACCCTGCTAAACAGATAAAATACATCTCTAAAACCACACACTTAGACCTCTATATTCTCCTACCAATATTTTAATATCAAATTGAAATTGAAAATGTTCCATTAAGAATGTTCCTTCAAGTGCTAGGATTCAATGATAAAAGGAAGGTTTTGTCAACAATTTTGAAATATTATTAAAAGATCTTTTAAATGGTTTAAAAGGACTTTCGATAAACCTTTCAAATTATCAAAACCATAAATGGGTCAGCTTTTCAGCTGCTGTAAATTATCACCACCATGCTTAGTTCAGGGCAACTGAAGACCTGCTCTTTTTTGTACATATGGTGGGTTATTGCATAACTGATAGTTTTGAAAGGGTATTCTTTCTGGGGTGTGTTTTTAGTTTTCAGTAGTGTTTTACAGCACTTCAGTCATGTTTTGGTGCAGGTCCTTATCTGAGAATAAGATATGAGTTTGACCATGAAAATCAGTAAGAAAATAAACACCAGGAGTTTAGAATAATGAATTTATACATATGAAGAGGATGGTTCAGTTAATCTGTAAGAATGTGTCTCAAATATGTCATTGCCAAGATAGGTCATCCTCTATTTTTAAGTGAAACCTTCTTTAATCTATATATTGAAGAAACAATAGTGAACTCAATAAAAACAAATGTAAATAACCAATCCAGAACACCTATTTCTAGATTTTGCAGAACATTATGTATCTCAAAAAGTTTATAGTAAGAAATGTGCAGTAAATACAACATATTGCCTGTAAAAGGCAATCAGCTTCTTATTTGGTTTTGAAAGGAAGAACAATTAATTGTCCAGCCAGTCATGCCAGGTCTTACCTGAAAGACAGGAAGATCTCCAAAGCTCTGCTCAAGAGTCAATCCCAGACAACCACTTGTTCTCTCTATGAAAAAGCCAGTGATACAACGAAGAATTAAAATACTTTTATTCTTATACATAAAGGCACAGCCAATTCAAGAGACACTAAAACATCATGTTCTTCTACAAAAGTATGAAAAACTTCTCAGGAAAACAAAACATATATGCACATACTGCAAACACACATCTCCAGTGTCACTCAGCACTTAATTTTGGACTCCAAACCATTATGCAAGTGGACCACACACTCCACATAGGTCTGGTTTATATTTACCACCACTGAGAAAGCTAGACCCCTTTTAAGCACCAAAATTGCTTTAGAAAAGATCTTATTAGGAACGTACACATTCTGCAATTGTTTCAGAAGTACCAAAGATAGCAAAAACATTTAGTAGCCTTCAAATATGTACATGCACATATCATCTCTTTCCCATTGCTCCCTTTAGAAGTTTTCCTAAAACAATAAAATTATTGTCTCTATGCTTACTTTCTATTTATTTCCCAAATGAACATATTCTAACTTTAACAATGTTTTATATCTTGTCATGCGTTGATGAATTCGAAACATTTATATTTATTTTAATATCCAACATAATCATACTACAGCTACAGTATGGGTAAAGTAAAATTGAAGATGCTCATTCCTAAAAGCCCCATCATGCCAGTTCAGCACATTGCCAGAAATGAAAAATACTGGGAAGAAATTTCATTTTAGTAAAATCGTGTATGGAATACAGGTGTGACCTGTAATTTGAAAGTAAAACATATATGGCTCTTTTATATTCAAAATGTGTTCAAGTTTGTTTAACAAAGGTAAACGTTTATTTAGTTTCAGTGTCATCAGTAAATCCTCACATTCCACAGGGGAAGTTAGGCAGGCTGCATATTTTTAGTCTCTATTTCTGATGCTTCCTCAGGTTTTAAATCTCTTTTAAATAGTTACCTAAACCCATTCTCCTACAAGTTGTACAACTTTCAGTCTCTTAGTTCTTGTAATTAGTAACGTGTCATTAGCTCCTCAATCAACAGAGACTTTTCCTTGAAGACTTTGAATTTCAAATGTGGAAATCAAGCATAAAACTTCTGTTGTTGGCATAAACCTTTCAAGATTTCTGTACTTATCATCAAGTACATGGAAAAGCTTTACAGGACATGAAGAACTTCCCCATGATAAACCGGAGTAAACTACAATTCTAAATAATAGATACACATCTGTTATTAGACTTAATATTAGCATCAATTCCATGGCTTTTCCAGCTGATACTGTCTATGTAAGGACAAGAAAGAGTGGTTGCAGATTCCTTTCCAGCCATTTCCTAAAGAAGGGGTGTTTCAGGTCACTACTGGTCCCTGAGATGAGAGCTGTTCTCTTCCATTCTCGCTACATGTCTTCAATCCAACCTTTTCTTTATCTCTATTGCTTCTCTCTCTCTGTGACTCTTCTGCCCTCAGCCAGCCATCATATTAGATGGCAAGTTCAAATATTAATAATAATATTCTTTGTGAGAATATGCAGAGGTGTTCACATCCAGAAGCATCATTGTCTTTAAGTGAAGGTAGAGAGTAAAAGGAAAGATTTGGTCATGACTAGTGGGGAAAACAAAAATTAAGCAGTGTATTAGTCACCTCTGAATGTGTACAAATTCTAAACAAACATGTACAACTCTGATAAAAGCAGGTCTGTTTCTGCAGCATTGCTGCTGTTCTGCTCAATTAAATATTCAATAGCATTCTCTTGCTTCTTGCAAAGTGCAGGGACCCTGCTCTTTGAAAATACAACCACTTAACAGCCAGAAACATTGGCCAAGGCCAATGCTAAGGCAGAGCATGGAGTCATAAACATGCACAGATGTTACTATTTGAAAACATTAAAGAGCTACTGAAGTTCCTGAGCACTTCTCAAGTTGTGTTGATTTCAGCAGTAATGAGTCATAAGGGAAGAAGACACTACTAAAATTATATGCCTGGGACACTTTTCTTTGCCACTTACATTTAGGAAAAAAACAAGTGTCTTTAGAAAATCTTAATGGGGAGGAGAGCACTATGGAAATGAATAGATCTGCTTGCTTGTATTTATGCAGTAAAACAAATACAATCCTAATGCATTACACATTTCTGATGATTTCATGGAAAGCTTAGAAGATCCAATTTTGCAAGTATCTAAAAAGGTTAGTGCTGAAGGTTATGAGAAGTTATGAAACTGATTATTTTAGGGAAAATTTTATTTAAAGGAATTTGGGACAGTTTTATAAACATAGCCAGGAAAATATTCACATATTCTGTGCCAGTCCAGCACTGATGAATAATTGCATTGAGTCTACTGAAATATTCAGTTAGGTGAGTGAACATGCTCAGGAGGTCTTATTTTTTTAGAAGTCCCTTAACCTTTTCTGAGTTCACTTTAGTAGCAGCTCAAGCCTACTCCACCATATAGGAACAGGGATTTCATGATGAGCATGAAAATTTACCACAGAGTGCTGGTATAGTCATGCTCAGGCTAACCTTTCTGTAGTTACCTCACCCTTCTATTACAGAACAAAGGACCCTCAAATTAAGAAAATATTAAAAGAAATGCAACCTAATAACTCTGTTCACCTTGGTAAGTATAATTCAAGGTTTTAGAAAGTTGTCTCTAGGGGAGAAAGCTGAATCTCTAAGAGAATCCTAGCCCATTATCAACTAAAGAACTGTAATTTTAACTGAGGCAGAGTAGCGCTAACATTGTGCATTTTACATTTTTACCAATGCAAGGATAAGGATGTCCAGAAAAAGAGATAATTTAAGCTACCACTAGGTTTCTAACTCAAGGAATAGGGCATCAAAACTGGAAGAAAGTAAAAGTCCATGAAAATAGAAATTTCAGATTTTTTTTCCCCTTTGCTGTTGCCATTAAGCAATTCTTTTCTTCCCTGTTCTCTGTTGTTTAGGAATTGTCTTTGTAGAAACAAGTTTGTGTTAGACACTTTCTCTCCAGAAATTGTCTCATCTTGTCTTATTCCTAGAGAGAACTATTCAAACTATGCAATAAGTTGGGAGGTCAACACCACCTTGTTGGGCCCAAACTCAGCTAATGAAAAGAGCCAGTGCAAGTTCCACATCACTTTTTACAAAAGGATCACTTATATATATTTAACTATGCATCACAGTATTAGTCTCTTCTACCCACTATTATTTGCTGAGGTTTGGCTCTAGGTAGTTTGATTTCTAAATTGAATTAAATATATTTAGTTTTATATCTAGAAATATGGAGACTTATGAAACTTATGGAGAAGTTGGTTTGATTCAGAGTGTTTGAAATGAGGTGCAATCCTCCAAAGAATAAGGGAAAAAGAATGCTATTTTGTTACTGCTTATTATTCATAAACAAATCTACACTATAGCTTATAGACCATGAAGATTATGATGTAGCTCATGAGCTGCATAAATCTATTAATGGGCATGGAAAAGTACCAATGTCAAGCCACATGAGAATGTGGCCTCATGACAAGAAAGGCAGCAGTGGGCAAAGAGTAAAGCCCTGAATTTCCTCATGTTTAAAAACTTACATGTGAAAGAAAAAGTCTTTCACCTCTTGGCCCACAGCTGTCTGTGGAGTTAGATACATGCAAGCCTTGCAAATCTTGACAGGTTTCTCATTAAATGTAGGGCTGAATGTTCCAGAAAGGGGTCTTTCAGGTAATTGGAAAACAATTTTTCTAACCAAAACTCTTGCTGGAAAAGTTTTCTTTCCAAGACATTTGGGTGTCTCAAGGTTTGGTGGTGTTTTCCAAAACAGAGGGAGACCTCACAACAGTTTGAGGT